TGGGTTAATGTTGGACTTGTGGGCTTGGGCAGCATTGGGTTGGGATGTTTTCGTGATGCACCTTTTCTTTACATAAAACTCTCTCTTATACATGAGTTACTGTGGATTTGTTTCTCCAAAATACCTAGACTAATACAGCAGCCATTCCAGTGGCATGTGGGGGATCAGTTCCCAGGCCCGCATTTCAAGGACAATAAAGTCCTTCCTTCAACTGGCGTAGCTAGGGACACAAAGCTGTTTTGGTAACAGAAGCGTTAGCATTGCTTTTGATATCACAACGTTGTAAATATATTTGTATCATTCCCCTGCCCCCATGGCCATCTTTTGAAACTCTACTGCTCCGCCACCAAAAATTTAAAAAACATAAAATGAAAACGAGTTAGGAGCAGCTGGGACAATGCCCATAGTAAACATTCAGGTGTCAGAGGTGGAACAAATATACGGCTACCTTTAAAACCATGTTCATCTTTTCACGACGAAGAACCTTTAGTGAGAGCAGCTATAGCAAGCTCCTCAGGAGGGAAGTGAACTGGTCTTGGGCGAACTCTTGGCTTTACTGCTCCGTTGCCGCCCCCCTCAAATCTTTTCAGGGTTGCAACTGTGTCCCAGGTTAGGAAAACTTCCCAGAAGTCTGGCCACTTGGCTATTAGCCATTGCGGTGTCAACCTCATTACAATGATCAAAGCAGAATCCGCTTAAGAAAGAGAGGAGAAAACCTCAGCGTTTGGCTACTCCCCAGGTTAGATCCCGAGTCCCCGAAGAACATGAGCTGGCTGTACAAATTGGAGAAAGAGAAATGTTAGCCAGGATGGTAAACATTGTCATAGATTTGCTTTTTTTTTTTTTTCCCAACCCACTCAGCAGTCTATCCCCTCACCCGGACTCTGTGTAAACAGATCTTTTTTCCCTTCAGGTTCAGCTCGTGGCTCCACCCTAAGACGGAAGCCGAAGACCTACACTTTCTTATTTGTAACTTGGGGCTTTCAACGAAGTGGGCCTAAGGAGCTATGTTGAGTTCCAACGTCTGGAAAGTGCTCATGG